TCTCTGGAGAGCAGAACTGGATAATCCATCCTTGGAGAGCAGGACTGGATTATCCAATCCTGCTCTCCAGGGATGGATTATCCAGTCCTGCTCTCCAGGGATGGATTATCCAGTTCTGCTCTCCAGGGATGGATTATCCAGTCCTGCTCTCCAGGGATGGATTATCCAGTCCTGCTCTCCAGGAATGGATTATCCAATCCTGCTCTCCAGGGATGGATTATCCAGTCCTGCTCTCCAAGGATGGATTATCCAGTTCTGCTCTCCAGAGATGGATTATCCAGTTCTTTTCTGCAGGGATGGATTATCCAGTCCTGCTCTCCAAGGATGGATTATCCAGTTCTGCTCTCCAGGGATGGATTATCCAGTTCTTTTCTGCAGGGATGGATTATTCAGTCCTGCTCTCCAGGGATGGATTATCCAGTCCTGCTCTCCAGGGATGGATTATCCAGTTCTGCTCTCCAGGGATGGATTATCCAGTCCTGCTCTTCAGGGATGGATTATCCAGTTCTGCTCTGCAGGGATGGATTATCCAGTCCTGCTCTCCGAGGATGGATTATCCAGTCCTGCTCTCCAGGGATGGATTATCCAGTCCTGCTCTTCAGGCAGAAGAGACCAAGCCAGAGGTTCTGTCCCAAAGGACCTGGGGACACTTTCCTGCCCAAGAATTTGAATTCCAGTGTCCGCCAGTGGCTGTGGGACAGCAAAGTGGAAGCTCAGGAATGGAAACAAATCCTGATCCCTTTCTGCAGGGCTTTGCCCTTTAACTGGAGCTCTCAGAATCCACTGATCAGGGCACATTTGGTGTTCCTGGGATTCTGGTGCTGATGGGATGCCCTGGGGTGTCTGTCAGGGAGGGAACTCTTGGGGCAGGAAGAGAGAGGTGTAATCTGAGAGAGAAAACAAAAGGAATGTCTCCGAGACCTGTGACATGGCCTGAGCTGTCTGGCTGCAGATCCTGACCCCGCTACACAAATGTCATTAAATTTACACAAAGTGACCAGGCTTTGAGTCAGATAAAAGTGGGGGGAGGCAAGATGTTCCTCTGGGACATGAGGCTGAATTAAATCCAGGGAAGTACTGGATAAACCGGGAATATTGGGAATGTATGGATGCGTGATCAGCACATTCAGCTTCATGCAGGGCTCTCCTGTTCTATTAGAGCTGGATAAAACCTTCAGGAGCAGCCAAACCTGGCCTCTTCTGGCACTGCCTTCTGCTGGTGGCAGTCACAAACCACAGACCTTTAAAATCATAATAAACATGCTCCTGTGACACCTTTCCATCCTGCTCTGGGAGCTCTCAAAAAGGGAAACACTGAAAAAATCTGCAGCTCTCTCACACCAAGAAATCTGCTGAGGGTTTCCAAAAATGTCAGGGCTCCAAAGGCTCCCAACTCTGCTCCTTTCCTGGGAAGCAGAGCATTCCCCCTTTCTCTGTGGATGGAAAAGGAAATATTTGCAGTTAAGAAAGGGTTTTTTTTAATAAAGTGAATGACAATTACAGCCAGTCCCGTGTGCCTGCCTGATCACACATTTTAGTGCCCAAAAGGCAAGAAAAGCAAAGTGCAGCCTGTGTTTAACCAGCCCCGTGGAGACATTCCTGGTGTGTTGAGTGTTCATTGGAACACTTTAACAGGGATGTCTGCCTTGGCTCCACCCTGATGGCTGAACTCCTTCAAGCTTTCCAGCACGATGAGTGACCTGGAATTTGTAATTACAATAGGTGTCATGCAATTAATCACCACCTGGGAGCTGCCTCCGTGCTTTGTGAGCCTCTGCAGCAAGTGCAGGGGAGCAGCTTGTGCAACAGGGCTGCTTCCAGCTGGGACAAGCCTGGAGGGGCTCCTGGCACCTGGACAGGCACAAACCCCCCTTGCCGAGGTGCTCCAGGTTCATGCACAGCAGTGGGAACAGGTCAGATGTCACAAAGGGACTTCCAGCAATCAGTTTGGAAATGTTCAGCAGCTTAAATCCATTCATGACCTCGTCTTTTTATTCTAGGGGAGATGTGTGGGGTAAGCCGGGGTAAGGGAGCTGCAAAAATCAGTCAGGGACAAAAATTCATGCAGAGAAAAAGGCAGAAGTTAAAAAGAAAATCCCAGAATGGTTTGGGAGGAAAGGAACCCTAAAGCTCATGGGCAGGGACACCTCCCACTGTCCCAGGGTCACCTCCCACTGTCCCAGGGTCACCCCCACTGTCCCCAGGGTCACCTCCCACTGTCCCCAGGGTCACCCCCACTGTCCCCAGGTCACCCCCACTGTCCCAGGGTCACCCCCACTGTCCCAGGCTGCTCCAGCCCCAATGTCCAGCCTGGCCTTGGGCACTGCCAGGGATCCAGGGACAGCCACAGCTGCTCTGGCAATTCCAGCCCAGCCCCTCCCCACCCTCCCAGGGAACAATTCCTGCCCAAGATCCCACCCCAATCTCCCCTTTTCCAATCTCAAGCCATTCCCTGGGTCCTGTCCCTGCAGGCCTTGTCCCCAGTCCCTCTCCAGCTCTCCTGGAGCCCCTGCAGGCCCTGGAGGGGGCTCTGAGCTCTCCCTGGAGCTTCTCCTCTCCAGCTGAGCACCCCCAGCTCTCCCAGCCTGGCTCCAGAGGGGCTCCAGCCCTGGAGCAGCTCCAGGGGCTCCTCTGGGCTCTCTCCAGCTGCTGCTGATGTTGGAATTCCCAGCGCTGGAGCAGCTCTACAGGTGGGGAATCACCTAAGAAGAGCAGAGAAGGAGAAGCTCTCCCCCAAGCTGCTGCTCAGGATTCCTTGGATGCAGCCCAGGACATGGGGGTGCTTTTGGGGCTGCAAACCTTCACTGCTGAGCTTTTAACCCCCTCAAAATCCCCAATTCCTTCCCCTCCAGGGCTGGCTTTGGTCCGTTCCCCCAGCCCCTGCTCGCCCTTGGGATTCCCCAGGTGCAGGACCTTGCACTTGGCCTTTGTGAACCCCTCGAGGTTCTCCCAGGCCCCCCCTTCCCCAGGCTGCCAAAGTCCCTCTGGATGGTGACATAAAGCTCGGAGAAAAGCGAGGAAAACAAACAAAATGCAAGTGTCTGCCCTTTACACCTCAGCACTTTAATAGGGGGTTAATTATTAATTATTGATATGGTTTATTGGCGCATTGGGGCATTGATTGTGCCGCCTGCAGGACGGATCCCATTGTTCTGAACAATGTGCAGATCCATGGCAGCACCCAGAGGGGTTACAAAGGTTTTCCAGAAAAAAAGTGCTGATGCTGAAACGCTAAAAATTGTGAACACTGAGAATATCTTGCTTTTCCCCCCTAAATTAGGGCTAGAGGAGAAATTAGCTCCTGAGTTTTTGATTTTTTTTTTACCTTCAGCAAAGTTATTCTCTCAGTCTTGCATTTGGTTGGAAAACAATTTAATTTATTTAATTTTCCTTACTCATGGACTCAAAATTGTAGGGGGAAAAAAAAAATCTGTCAAAATACCACATTTTAATCAGACTTGCATCTTTCCAAAACATCTCCTTTTTAAAAGATGTCAGAACCACTCAATTTGGAAGGGGGGAAAAAAACCCAACAAAGCTGCAAAAACATCTCCAAGATGGTCATAATTTCCATCCAGCTCTTTTTTGGGAGGAGATGAGAGGCTCCAGCAGCAGATCAGTTAGGGAAGGAAACAAGGAAAGTTGTGCGAGAAAGTTTAATTAAAGTGGGAGTAATTAGGTGCTGAGGAATCCCAAGGAGGACCTGGCACGGGATCAGTCTGGGCAGTGTCTTCTTGCTGGATGTCTCTGCCCTTGGCCAGATGGAGCTGTAATTTCAGTTACTGGTTAACCAGTTTGCCATGAAATTCCATTCTTCCAGCTTGGAATTCTGGGGATTTGACTCCAAGTCCAGAGGGATCAAAGCTGAGGGGAGCAACCCGATTTTCTGCTCCGCTGGGAATTCTGTGATTTTCTATTCCGACCTAAAATGACGTCAAATTATTTGGAGTTTCATATTAAAAAAAAAACAACAATAATCTCAGAAGCAATTTTATCTCAGGTCGCAGGAATGTGTTATTGTGAGCAAAAACTGCAATTTTCTCTTATCTTAAACAACATTTTAACGTATTAAAACAAGTGTTGCAGTTTGAAATCTAAATTTAAACCTAAATTACACAGCTTGTTCCAAAGCTGATACGAGGTGTTGCAAAATCCGTAATGATGACTGATTCTGTGACCTCTGCTGCTGGTTTGGTGGTTTCAGAACAATCAGGAGGATTGTTTGGAGAGGGTTGTGGAGGATTGATTTGTGAAGGATGTTTATCAACACCGGCTGTGGCTGCATTTGAATATAGGGAAGGGAAGGGAAGGGAAGGGAAGGGAAGGGAAGGGAAGGGAGAAGAGAGAAGAGAGAAGAGAGAAGAGAGAAGAGAGAAGAGAGAAGAGAGAAGAGAGAAGAGAGAA